AATATAACAATGTAATAAAAAATGAAAGATTATGATCTAACATAATCGACAACAATTGTCAATGATAAAATTGATAAAATTAATTCAAATTACTAAGAATTTCTAACATATCTTACAGATATTGCAAATAATATATGTTATTTTATCTCGGAACAATTAACATTTTATAAGGCTTTGGTTCGCGTATAAGTCCGCTCTTTGATTCTATTTGAATAGATTCTTTACCTGGCTCTGGGAGTAATTGAAACTTTTGTATTACCCCGACAAAGAAAAAAAATGTAGCCGATTTTGCCAAAGCTTCTCCGGGGCACCTTCTTTTTCCTGAAAAAAAAAAAAATTTTTTTTTTTTGGACTGTCAAATCTATTTACAAGATTTCAACTTGATCACAATTATTTATTGAGCAGAAGATTTCGCGCGAATGTTAAATTAAGAGAGTATCGTTCACCTTTTTCCTTAACGTGAAAGGCATGTTCTTGACCTTTCAGTCGAGAAGCACCCGGAAAGAAAACAAGACAGTGTTATCATAATTATGTGCATACATCATGGTGTATACAAGAATGGTTTAAACGCAATTAAGCAAGCATCAATAACGTAAACGAAGCAATCATTTCTGTTTTGCAAAAGAATTTGCGACGTCTGAGTGTTTCTTAACTGTTATTCCTTTTGTAAAAATCTCGTAAAATTCGTTTTTTATAAAGAATGCTTAAATTAAAGGAATATTTAGTATAATTTATATTAACCTTTTCCGAATAGTATAATATTTTCATGCTGCTTTTGATAAACACCATTCTCGTTTATGTGCCTCTCCGGTCTGAACGAAGTCGGGTCGGGGAATAAATCCGGATCCATGTTGTTTGAATATAAGTGCATCAAAACAGTAGTATTTTTGGGTATCTTGTAGTTGCCGAGAGTTGTGTCCTTAAGAACGCGACGTGGTCCGATTATTGGTGTAACGTGAAATAAACGTTGACACTCTGTTATTATTGCTTCCGCGAAGGGCATTCTATAATCAATTTAAAATTCAACATAAATTGAACACTTGAGTAATTTCTCGAATATAGGAAAACTGTACCCAAGTAGAACAAGTCACGATAACGTCAAAATGACATTAAAATGAATCGGAAATAATAGAAAAATGACTTTCAATCATTTTGGAGTCATTTTAACATCATTTTGATATCATAATGACTTATTGTTCTGCTTGGATATAAGAGGAACAATGCCCTCCACAAAAAATTAATTTAAAGAAGCATATTGTGCTCCTTTTAAAGTTTAAAGTAAAAATTATGTTGTTATACTTGATTCTATCCTCCAGTTTGGGAAGCCTATGGGAACCGATCACGTCGTTGATTTCCTTATATAGTTTGCGTTGTATGTCCTGGTGATTGGCCATTTGCAAGAAGAGATTATCCAATGTTGCCGTCGTGGTGCTGAAGCCGGCGATGAAGAAGTCGAGCAACGTTACAAGTAGATTGTCGTCTAAACAGAAGAGATGATCGCGCGTATGTATCAGACGCGTAAACGGACTCGCGAAGAGAACGCTTTCTCTCACGTGCACGGTGCTTTCATTAACGCACTGACTGGGCACGCAGGAGGAAGTGTTAATTTTCTTGCGAACACCCGACAAGATTGCGAGAAGAAGTGTTTCCGGAACGTCGTTCGGTAATAGAAAATAATAATGGGCACGCACCTGAAAACACAGAAACTTTGTCATTCTGCTCCTCTACGTTGTTGTACATCTCCTGAAGGAATAAATCAATAAAGTCTGCTTCATTTCCCTTGATGTACTGCTCCTTGTGCTCATTGATAGTTTCCTGCAGATTCGAAATATGTCGCATTAATAAAAAAGCTAAAAAATTCAATTAACATATCGAAATTACGCACCATTAGGAAGCTCTTAAGTTCATTGTTTAACTTGACAAGGAAGTTGTAACCCGACATCTCCGGCGCGATGTAACGTAGCCAGGGGAAAGCGGCTATAACACCACCGGCAACATCGAACCTTCCTGCACGACGCTCCATCAGCTTCAGAAATGTCTGCAACCTGCAAGTAATCACGGAATCATGAGACAACGCACGATCGCAACTTCCTTTCTCGAGTTCTCCGGAAATAAATTCGCGGAAGTGCCGCATCGCTGAGGAAGCTCATTTTTCAATTGTTCCGTCGACGATTTCACACACGTACATACCTTGAGAGATTATCGAATGGTTTCTGTCCTGTAATCAGCATCCAGAGAACATTTATCACGGCAGGTGAGAATGCGGATCGTATTTGTTGCACGCCACCGTTTGCCAGTTTTTCTGTCATGAGCGTCATCTCTTCTGTGATCAGCTCCATCATCGCTTCCTTGGCGAAACCAACGCTCCTTAGAGCACGCACTGACCAAGAACGCAATTCTTTCCATTCCTCGCCGTCGTTGAACGTGATCCCTGATTCCAATGATTTCTGATTAATCAGGAGTCTTTAAGGATCCTTATAATCCGAGGAGGTAATCACTTAATCGTGGGACAGAGTTCCCGAAATCATTATAAAATTCATATGAAATCTCTATGTATAATCCGATAATTACATATGCAATTACGAGAAATCATTGTGTAATATTAAATAAAATCATTTATTTTCTCAAATAATTTCATATATAATGAAGAAAATTATTTGTAATAAGATGAAATTGTATGAAATCAAATGAAATCTGTGGGATAATATTTTAGCTAATGGTTATCCTCTTGTTATAATCTTCCTGTCTATCAGTTTTCTATCTTTATAGCGCGAATCGAATTTATTCATTATAAATTCATTAAACATATATACATAAATATTTAAAAAATTGATCTGTGTATGTTTGATAAGATTACAATTCTTTATATTATTGAAATATATAAGAACATATCTCTCTCTCTCTCTCTCTCTCTCTCTCTCTCTCTCTCTCAAGTTTCAAAACGAAACCTTTAAACTAATGTAACGAATTCCGATCCAATTCGGATACCTTTCCTCATTCCCATGTTTCGTAATTTTATAAATTCATTCCAAGGACGTCCGTCATAGATTTCGCTAAAGCATACTTCATGCACAAGCTTACTGTTCGTGACAACAATTACATCGTCAGTACCCAAACGTAAACTTATGATGTTGCTATTATATATCTTGCTGAGTTCCAGAAATGCGAGGTATTGTCCACCGAATTTACGCATCAATTTTTGTAAATAATACCGATTTCCAAAAATCGGCCAAGGAAAGGGACCTTGAAAGTAAAAATTAGATATTTAACTATTATATTATACCAATTCCAAAGAAAATATTTCTTCATGTTAAAAATTCTTCAAAATTCACATATTTCTCAAATGTATTCTAAAAATTTGCAATTTACAAAAATGATGATTAGTTCGTTATCGCATATTATATGTTTCACTTGTTCTAATCTTTAAAAGCTATTATCTTTTAAAAGCACTATTTACTGATTTTATATTAATTATTTTTCTCATTGAAAGTAATTAAGAATTATTTTGCGTAGTTATCGCGTAATCTAATTGATTTATTTATAACAAAGCTATTTATTTTTATATTCTCGAAAAGTATACCTAATACATCGGATTCTCATTAAACACACATTGAAACACACATTAACTTCCAACACGTCGACTTTCTTTGTAAATATAAAAAATTGTATTTTAATGCTTCCTGATTACCAAGTATAGATTTTATTCTGTATTGATTTTAAATCAAGACATTTAAGAAATTAAAATATATAAGCGTTAAAATGATTTGTTAAAAAATAAATTTTAAATGGAAAAAAATAATACTTACATATTGGCAATTTACTGGTTTCTATTTGTGATATGTTATTTTAGGGGGATTTTATTCTGTATTGATTTTAAATAAAGATCAAGACACATTTAATAAATGGATATATATATGCGTTTAAAATAATTTGTTGAAAAATAGATTTCAAAAAAATAATAACGCTTGTATATTGGCAATTTGCCGATTTCTATTTGTTATTTTAGACTAGACAGACCTGTTTCAATTAATTATGGATTTAACTAAATTTACGATTAAATTTA